CATCCGTAATGCTAGCCAGCGTAGCACTGCTGAGCCTATAAGGATGCTGCAGGTTTTTCCTCCCAAGATGGAGAACCTTGCATTTTTCGGTGTTAAACATCATCAGGTTCTCAACCGCCCATTTGCCAAGCCTGTCAAGGTCAGCCTGAATCGCCCTCCTGTCTTCAGGTGTGGATGCTTTGCCCCAAAGTTTGGTGTCATCAGCAAACTAGCCAGTCAGCTTCTGACTCCAATGTCCACATCATTTATGAAGATGTTGAACAATATGAGTCCAAGGACACAGCCTTGGGGGACCCCACTGGTCACAGGGCACCATGATGATTGACTTCCATCAATTACTACCTTCTGGGTCCAGCCACGGAGCCAATTTCCCAGTCAGCGGTTCGTGGTGGACCCAAGGCCATAATTAGCCAGTTTCACCAAGAGGTGATCATGGGATACCAGATTGAAGGCTTTTTTGAAGTCAAGATATGCAACATCAGTCTCTTCTCCCTTGTCCAGGTGATAGGTCACCTGGTTGTAGAAGGAAGTGAGATTGGTTAAGCAAGACCTACCCGCAGCAAACCCATGCTGGCTATCCCACAGGATGTTGGTGTTGGCCAGTCCATTAAGGATGGCCTCTTTAATAAACTTTTCTAAGACCTTCACCGAGATGGAAGTCAGGCTGATGGGCTTGTAGTTTGCTGGATCCACTTTCCTCCCTTTCTTGAAGAGAGGCACCACATTGGCCTTCTTCCAGTCTTCGGGCACTACACCAGAGCACCAGGAGTTTTCAAAGATCCATGCCAGAGGCTGGGCTATGATGCTCACCAGCTCCTTGAGTACCCTGGGGTGTAGATTATCAGGGCCAGCTGACTTGAAGGTATCCAGCCTTTCAAGGTGTTCCTTCACGAGGTCAGCATTGATGGAGGGGAGGAGATCTCCCTCACCCAGACCTCCCTGTCCCGTAGTGGCATGGGCGTCCTATGGGACTGATGAAAGACCGACGCAACGTACCCATTTCATAGGTTGGCTTTTTCCTAGGCGTCAGTTGTCAGTTGTCCCGTCTGGTTTAGTAGGGGTCCAGTGTTGCCCTTGCTTTTCCTCTGGCTCCCCACATACCTGAAAAAGGACTTTTTATTGTCCTTGATACTCAAAGCTAGTTGGAGTTCAGTTGCAGCCTTGGCTTTCCTGGTTTGCTCCCTGCAGGACCGGACCAGTGCAGAATAATCCTCCTTGGAGGTGAATCCTATCCTCCATCCTTTGTAGGCTTTTCTTTTTGGCCTTAGGAGGTCTGCTAGGTCCCTGGAGAGCCAGAGGGGCTGCTGTGCCCTCTTGCTGCCTTTCTTCCGAGATGGAATAGACTTAGCTTGCGCATCCAGGATTGCTTCCTTGAGGAGCAGCCACTCTTCCTGAACTCCCCTCCCCCTGGGGTCGTGGTCCCTTAGGGCCTGACTGACAAGGCTTCTGAGCTTGTCAAAGTCAGCTTTCCTGAAGTCAAGGACTTCAGTGTTGCTGACTGACTTGCCAGCTTTATGGCAGATGGTGAACCACCCTCAGCTTCTCCTACTAAGTCATGTCCCCCAGTCCTCTAACCACTTTTGTTGCCCTCCGCTGGACTTTCTCCAACTTGTCTGCATCCTTTCTACAGTGGGAGACCGGATGTAGGCTCACTAATGCTGAATAGAGGGGAATAATTATTTCCCTTGATCTGCTGGCAGCACTCCTACTAGCAGCCCAGTATGCTGGTAGTCTTCTTGGCAACAAGGGCACGCTGTTGATTTATACTCAGCTTATTGTCCACTGTAACCCCCAGTTGCCGCTAGCCCACTATCCATTAGTCAGCTAGCCCCAAGCCTGTAGCGGTGCATGGGCTTCTTCCATCCTAAGTGCAGGACGTTGCTTTTGTCCTTATTGAACCTCAGATTTCTTTTGGCCCAATCCTCTAATCTGTCTAGGTCACTCTGAATCTTAGCCCTACCATCCAGTGTACCCACTATTTCCTCCCTCCCACCCCCCCTCAACTTGATGTTATCCACGAACTTGCTGAGGGTGCAGTCCATCCCATCTTCAGCATATATCCACTCCTGCCAGGGTCCTTTCTCTTGACCGGAAGGATCGAAGATAACACCACCTGTGCCCCCATCTCCTTTCCCCTTGTACCCAGAGCCCTATAGTCACTCTTGATCTGCTCAGGGTCACCCTTGGCAGTATCATTAGTCCCCACATGGATAAGCAGCATGGGGTAGTAGTCAGAAGGTTGGACTAGGGGGCACCCCCAGTTCTGCCAGTACCCCTCGCTCCTGACGTGCAGCTCCCTGCCTCCTCACAACCCTGCCAGAGGAGGTCCCCAGCTCCCAGGGCTGCGGAACCAGTGGCTGCATACCATCCATTCCCTACTCCGCAGGCACCAGCTGCAGCCGACCAGCAGTGCTCGTGTCCTGGCTGCTGTCCACGGGAGGCAGTGGCTGGTGTGGCTAGAGCAAAGTGTGCCCCCTCCCACCCCCCCCCAGTGAGTGGCATGACCAGAGTGGACCGAGTGAAGCCCATGGGGGGTAGAGGATGTAGGCTGCCCACTGCAGAGCTCAGGGCTCCCTGCCCTGCTGTCCTCCCTGCGGGACCCTCTGTGGCCCAGCAGACAGGGCCCAGCACAGCAAGGAAGAGCAGGGTGGTGAAACTCAGTGCTGTCACTACCACCACCAGGAGCCCCACACCAGCCATGGTAAAGCACCCTCTGTCTGCCTGGCAGTAGCAGGGGTGGCAGTGGCAGCACAGAGTTGTGCCCCCCCCGCTACTGCTGGGTGGGCAGAGGGTGCCTCACCTTGGCGTGTCTCAGCAGCACTGAGCCTCCCTACCCTGCTCAGCCCTCCTGCACTGGGTCCGGCCTGCTGGGCCACAGAGGCCCTCAGGGGGAGGGTAGCAGGTCAGGTAGCCCCAATCCCCACAGCGGGCAGCCCACATCCTCCCTCACCCTGTGCACAAATCTGGAGGGGCATGTATCCACCTGCCCCAGGAGTGCGCACAGTGGCAGGGTGCCAGCCACCCCAGACAAGCCACCCATGTCTCTGTCCTGTTCCCCCCAGCCAGGCCCTGTGTCCATGCATTCCCACTTGGGCCCTGGGCAGCGCCGCGGTGGCTAGACAGCACCCCCAGCCCCAGTTGCCAACCCTCCCTCACTATGGCTGCCTCAATATGCACCCCACTACCCCCCAGACTTACCTGAAGGCAGGAGGGGGAGCTGCTCTCTACAGCTGCCTGGCTGTATTGCTGGCCACAGGCCTGTGTGCATGTGCACACAGGCGTGTAGTGTCGCCTGTCTCGTTCCCCCCAGCCCCAATCAGCCCCTTGCAGGTTGGAACTTTGCCAGCCTTCAAAGGGAAACCCATGGTTTCTGTGATGTTTTTCTCCTTTAAAGGAGAAAATGCACATTTTTCCACAGCAAACAGAAAACCCAGATCCCTGATGATAAAACAACAATATTGCCCAGTAATATCCTTACAAGCATACGATGATATTCATTTAAAAATATAATGGAGATTTTGCACCACATCTGTTCAGACGGTGTCAAAAATGCTATAGCTGAGTGTCTAATCTAGTATCAACTTTCCTTCCCACAGCTTTTCCTCTTTAATTTCTATCCCTTTGTGCAGCGGTTCCTACAGCCACATCAGAGAGGTAAGCAGCTGCCTGCAGAATACTCAGCTTCTGGCTCCCTCTTGCATTCTGTGTTCTCCAATTGGTACGTGGGCACCAAGTCTCTAGCAGTGGGGCTGTAGAGTTAACAAGCTAGTATGCCTTGTAAAATGGAGGTGCAGGAGGAGGAATGTACTGGCTCTTGTTTCCAGCTCTTGTTATGAGCTAAAGGACCTGATTTCCAAAGATGTTAGTCACTTTTAGCTCAGAGCGAATTAAACTGAGAACTGCATGTATTCAGTGCTTTAGAAATTGGGGCTAGGTATAGAAGTTACACTTAACATGTAACAAAAAGTTACACTTAACAGAAAGTGCTGTAAAGCTGTATTTGGATAGACATCCACGGCACATAGAGCGCTTAAAAACAGTGGGTCCCACTCTACATTAACTGTGGATCACTGTGGCATCAGAACTTTACATTACAGCACTTTATTGAATGTCTGTACTGCATCCCATACCGAGTTAAGGTAGGATGCATTCTGCTGTCATCCCAGAGGCCCATCCCTGGGTGCCTTGCTAGCCTTGGCAGGTGCTCATCTGCTCTCAGCGAGCACAGGTCCAGCCCCACCCCCACACCGTCTCAGAGAGGAAATAAAAAGGCTCTGTCTCCTCCCTGTGTTGCCAGGCTGGAGAATGGAGCCTCTCTGCTAGTCCTCGCCCAGACCTATGCCTGCAAGCTTGGGGTGCAGGATCCACACAGCAGAGAAGCTCCAGTCCCCCAGCTGCAACTTCTGGCTGCGCTGCTTTTTGCCACACCAAGAACTGGAGGGAGGGCAAGGTCGGGGTGGGGAGAACAGAGCCTGGCTGTCGCACAGATCCACTCTCCCAAGCTTGCTACCTCGTGTCTTGGGGGGGGCTGGGCCGGGTCCGCATGGCAGAAAGGCTCCGTTGCCCTAGCTGCAGCTAGGAGCCACTTCTCGCTGCCCTGGGAACTATGGTCAGGGGGTAGAAATGGAGTTTCTCTGCCATGTCGACCTGCTGTGGCCCCCACCAAGACCCATGCCTGCAGGTTTGTGGGGGGAGATCTGCATGGCAGAGAGACTCCATTCCCTGCCTTCTCACCCCTCAGCTGCCTGTGCTGACAGCAGCCAGCTGGCAGGGTGGCAGAGCTGGGGAGAGGGTCTGGGCTGGCTACTCAAGGGCCGGGCTTAGCATTCTCCCACCACCTCCTGGGAGGTGCGTGCCCCCAGCCTGCTGGCCTCAGCCACTGCAGGCAGGCTCTGAGCCCCCTGCACTGAATAGCACATATGTGTTCTGTTTGGTCCCGACCTAATCTAGAGCACTTTGAGTAAAGCACTGTACTTGGAGCGCTTCTGTCTCTGGCTTCTTGAACGACTGTACACAGCCAGGAATTTTCTCCAAAAGTAGAATTACCTTGCGCCTAAGTTAACCAAGCCCCACAAGCGATTCAGAACTCTTCAGCAAAGTTGTGGGTGCCCTTTGCCACACCATAGTTCAAGCTGAAATAATCAACATTTTGGTCTAATGGTTAGTCATGATGAGTGATTCTCTAGTTCTTTAGGGTCCCAAATTTGCTCCTGTGAGTGGAATTTGAGCACATAGGACATACACCTAGCAGTAGTGCCAGGAAAAATTTATAAACTTTCCAAAACCAGAATGGCTGTCTACCCCAGAAGTCACCTCTTTTCTTTTCTAGAAGTGACCAAGATACTTCTTTTTGCTGCACAAGCTTCGCATCAGCTGGTGCCACCAGAGGTCAGGCTTCTTCTAAATCTTGCCTCTTAATATTAACAATAAATTGCATGCAAACTTGTGACCAGAGAGTGACACTTGTCTAAAATTGCATTATGGTAGCACCTAAAATGGTGGGTGCCAACCTTTATAGCAGGCATGCCACTTCAATCTGCTTCCTCTACCTGATCTTACCTGATCTGCTGCTCTGTTTTGTGTTTCCTCCTCTATGTTCCCTGCCCAAACTCCTCCTTTCCTTTATGCTTCTTGCCCTGTCCTCCCTGCCTGATTCCCTACTCCAGGGGTGGGCAAAATGCGACCCGGGGACTGGATGCAGCCCACCAGGCCATTCTATCCGGCCCGCAGGGCCTCTAAAAAATGTAGAAAATTAATATTAATCTGCCCTGGACTGCCTGTCACGTGGCCCTCGATGGCTTGCCGAAACTCAGTAAGCGGCCCTCTTGCCCAAAATAATTGCTCACCCCTACCCTACTCTATCTTCTACTTCCTGCCCTGTTGGCTGCTGTGCAGCCTGTCTCCTCCTTCATCTGTCGCTTGCCATACCCACTGGCTGTCTATGACGCTTTTCACCATGAATTTAAACACTCTTGCAGAAGCAAAGTTTGGATTCTGTTTTTGCTGTGGGTTGGGCTAACTTCCCCATTGTGCTGAGTGCAGTACCAAGCACAGGCACAAAGCAAAAAGATTGTTCATGCCCCAAAGAAGTAATGACTTTCCCAGAAGTTCCTGAAGCATGATATTATTCAGATGCAATGTGATCCCTATTGGTTATTTAAGACAAATCCAGGGTGTGTTTTTTATAAAAATTGAAATAATTCTCTCTGCTTTGTGGGATGTGTGCATCATAAACATGCTGCATGGATTAGAATGACTTCAAAAGTGGCCTCTTTAAGGGCCGGCCCTCAAATTTTGAATGAGTTGGCCTTCCCGGACCTTGTATTGTATAGAAGAGAATAGAACTACCCCAGGAGTGGTTCAGTCTGGCTTAATGTTTATTTCTCTTTTTCAGATTGTCCAGTCAGTATTAATGACCATCGCCAACAATTTTGTCACTGACAAGAATTCTGGGGAAGTTATGACTGTGGGGTATGTATAAAAACTTGTGAAAGCCCTCTCTGTATTATCTGAGAGGACAACAGGGACCTGGAAACACTGTACAAATGACAGAAAAAGAAAACACCCTTTGAAATAAAAATAAATTCAGAATATTTTGGCACATTTATCGTGCTTTTGACGTGTAGTGCATTTTGAATGTGTTAAATTGCTTTTCAGTTGTCTGAAAATGTAATGGTTTTAATGTTTAGCCTGTGATACTAGTTCATTGTGCAGAGAGATTTCTCTTTAACAATGTAATGTTCTAAGTCGTTTAACTCTTTAGAATTCAGATCTTGAGGAATGCTCATATGTATTTCATATGGATGAACTATTTATCTGTAAACTAACACTCTTATGAACTTGTAGAATCTAGTCTTTGCCATCATAGTCTGCTAATGGCTGAAATTATACAAGCACCAATGAATTTAAACACTCTTGCAAAAGCAAAGTTTGGACTCTTTCCTTGATCAGTAAAACTGGTGTGTATTTCTGAAAACCATAATGTAGACTAGGGTGTAGGGTGTATAACTAGCTGCTTTTTTTTTTTTAATATACACTTTTGGTGAACCACAAGAACATATTTTTTCAGGAGTAAAAGGGAACTAGTCAGCTGTAGCTACTAGCTCCATTGATGTTCTTAGTATTGGTTTGTTTGTTTTTCTAATATGGTTTTAAGCATAGGCAAAATGAAGTCTTGGTGTGTGTGTGTAAATGTACTTTAAAAGGGAACTCACGAGTATACAACTCTCCAGGGTGGACTGTCCCTGCAGATCAAACCACGGATAAAATGCAGAAAGACTGCTAATGACTCTACTAAGCACAGGTATAGATAATGTATAGATACAGTCGAGACAAAAAGCAAAAAAACCTCAATGTGCAGAGCTGTTGAACACATACAGCTTATGCTTCTGAAAACTGATCCTAGTTGTGGCTCAGAGAACCCTTGTGCTGGTGATGCAGGCCCTGGGATAGGCAACCATAGCGAAATGAAGTCTCTGATGCCCTCTTCTTGTATTGTTCTGGGATTGTTTGGGTCTCAGACACATTAGTGCAGTATGATACTACCACCCCTTGGCCAGCCAGACTCTCTCTCCATTGTGTTACTGAAGCAAAAACAAAATTTAAAAAATTAATTTTTCAGAATTAATGCTATAAAAGAGATAACTGCAAGATGTCCTCTGGCCATGAGTGAAGACCTGCTGCAAGACCTTGCACAATACAAGTCTCATAAAGATAAAAGTAAGTTTTTACTACCTGCAGGCATAAAAGGATGTTGGGTTTTTAACCATGTCTATCCTGTAAGTTCTAATATTGCATCACATGGTCACAGCCAATAAAATAGTGGGAAATATTCTTTCTAAGCTGGAAAGTTGAGGACAGTTTTTGTGTTGGTCTCCTTCAAATCTCTGTCTGTCTTGCGTGTTTTCTCATGCAAGAGGCTAAGTTCTTGGGGCAAGAGGGGAGGGGAAGGAGGCATAGCTACATAGCACCAATGAACTGAAACTTAACTAAGGCTTGATCCTGCACTGTTAAAATTGATCTGAACTTTGCCATTGACTTTAAGGGGTACAAAATCAGTTCCAAAATTATCATTGATCATGTGAGTTATCTTTGCAATTTGTGATGTAATCCTGAGAGATTTTGTTTTTGAATGTAATGGACGTAGTGGCAGCAGCTTAAATTTTGAAGAAGGATTTTGTGGACATTGTGCAACTAAGCAGAAGTAGAAGAGGACAGAGAACAGCCCTGAAAGATGATGCTGTAAGGCTGAAAGAACTAAAGAGTTGAATAGCTCAGGCTGTTGGAAGATGCATGGGTTGTCATAGAAAAACTAAAAAATAATTTCTTTGTCTTCAGCTTAGCCACAGCTCAAATACTAGGTCTAAAAAAAGATAATTTTTTATGGTTTGCTGGTTTTGCTAAAAAATTGAAGAAAAACCTTGTTTCACAGTTATATGAAATGAGCACTTTTTCCCCCCCTTGAGAAGCAGCCCCTTCCCACCTCCAAATTTGAGTATAGATCAAAAGAAATATCATATTTTATCCAAAACAAAACATTTTACTTTTATTTTATATTTATTTATTTATTTAAAAATTAAATGTAGCTACATTTGGTCTCTGTTTCTTGTTGAAAATACTGAGATGAAATGTTTTGACTCTTCCATAATTAATTATTTTCTTTTTTTTTCAGATGAAAAGATTCAAACTTGCAAATAGTTTGTTGACCTGAAATATGTATTTTTCATCAAATTAACTGTCAGACCAACTTAATTTTATATAGAAGTGCAAGGCATAGTTCTAACCTGATGCTTTCCTTTTCATTTGTTCCAGATTCTGTTCTTTTCCAGTGAATTTAGTTATTCCTTATTTTTTTCTATAGATGTAATGATGTCTGCAAAAACTCTCATACATCTTTTCCGTTCATTGAATCCTCAGATGCTTCAGAAAAAATTCAGGGTAAGAGGTGTTCCTGTTTGATTTAAATTTGTTCTGAAGCATGAGCTTGTAATACCAGAAAGAAAAATGCAATAACTTGTGCATTTCAGCTGGGGTTGTGGTTGATTGTACATGCTCTTAAGGATGTGTGTGTGTTACTTTTTACCTTACTTACCTTTTATGGGTTATAGCAGGGATGGGCAATTATTTCAGCTGGAAGGACACATAATGGGTTTTGGTGAGCTGTTGAAGGCCACAAGGGTAATCCCACCCCTTGACAGGTGCCCTGACCCCTGGTCACCATCTTAGGACTAGAAGTCTCGCCCCCTAACCTTTGTCACCAGACATCCCTCCCCTTCCCCCAGAACATCTTTTTGGGGGAGTGGGATGCCATCTTTGACCTGGAAAACAGTCTTATACTAAAAATCAAACATCTACAATAACATCTTTTAATTTTATTTAAAAAAATATTTGTCCTAATTTGTGTTTGCGTAGCATGTATAGAGGTGATTGCATAATAGCTCAAAAGAAAGTTTTTCTCTTGTATATAGTGTGGGGGGATAGGGGGAGTGTATGTAGGGGACGGTGTGGGGTGTGCATGGTTGGGGGAGTATCTGCTTGGGGGTAGGTGTGTGGGGTGGGGTGTGTGTGGGAGGGGTATGTGGGTGTATGTGTGTGGTTGGGGTGGGTAGGATGGGGGTGTGGCAATAGTTTGGAGTGTGGTTGGCTATGTGAGGGGTAGAGGGGTGTGAGTACGGTGGTGTTG